CAGCAGCAGCTGTATCACCAATAGTAGGGATACTTATCAATGATCTTTTTCTTCTTCTCTATTGTAATTCTCACCCTTATTGCTGTAGGGTTGGCACTAGAAGCTTTCTTGGGGCCCATGGTCACTTATTTTCCAGAAAAAGCACCGAAAACACTGTAATAATACGAAATATTCCGATTGTATGCTTGGATGTTACGCGGAGGCTGGCTGGTAAACAATGCCACCGCGGAACATGTGAGCGTGGCTCAGGCCGCACATTGGACGCGTCTCGGAGGAAAAATCGGTAAGGGGTTTTTAAGCGGTATGTGAGGCAAAATTTTTGCAATTAAAGTAAGCGGTATGCGAAATAATCGCTATGTGATGCCATCGTTATGCGGGGGTCCACTGTACTGCATTAGTGTAGAAATAAGAACATAAGAACGAAGGAACACTGCAGAAGGCCTACTGGCCCATGCAAGGCAGGTCCAAGTCTCCTCCCGGGCTTAAGCCAATGCACCCAACTAGTCGGGTTTCAGGTCCATTGACTTAAGGGGGGAAAACACGGAAAACCGACTGGTTTAGCACAAGCTATCGGGTCTAACTCACACCCACCCACATCTACTCATGTATTTATCCAAACTATTTTTAAGCTAACAACGTTCTGGCCTCTATAACGGTATTTGGGAGTTTGTTCCACTCATCCACAACTCTATTACCAAACCAGTACTTCCTATATCCTTTCCCTGAATCTGAATTTTTCCAACTTAAAACCATTGCTGCGAGTCCTGTCTAGGCTAGATATTTTCAGCACACTTTTTACATCCCCTTTATTTTTTCCCTGTCTTCCTTTATACCCCTCAATCATATCCCCCCTAATTCTACGTCTTTCTAGAGAGTGCAGTTTCGGGGCCCCTTAGTCTATCCTCATAGGGAAGGTTTCTGATACATGGGATCAACTTTGTCATCCTCCTTTGTACATTTTCCAGAGAATTTATATCCATTCTGTAATACGGTGACCAAACTGTGCAGCATAATCTAAATGAGGCCTAACCAAGGATGTATAGAGTTGAAGAACAACCTGAGGATCCTATTATTTATGCTTCTTGATATGAAGCCAAGGATTCTATAGCTTTATTGCGAACACTTATGCACTGTTGTTTTGGGTTCAGATTACTGCTAACCAGAACTCCTAAATTTTTTTCGCCAATCCGTAATATTAAGATCTACAAAATTTAATTTATATGTGGCATGGTTATTGTCCTGTCCAACATTTTAGAACTTTGCATTGTCTATATTAAACTGCATCTGCCACTTCTCCGCCCAAACTTGCATCAGTCTATTCAAATCTTCCTGGAGTGCTCAAATGCCCTCGTCGAATGAATTCGACGGCCCTATTTTGGTGTCATCGGAAAACTTGCCGAGGGTCGCTTTTTAAATGCCCTCATCTATGTCGTTTATGTAGATTGTGAACAGCAGGGGGCCCAACATGACCCCTGTGGAACACCGCTCGTGACGCTTCCCACTCTGATTTCTCCCCATTTATGCAAACTCTCTGCTGCCTATTTGTCAACCATGCCTCTATCCAGGAAAAAATTTCTCCTCCATTTCCATGTGCTTTAATTTTCCTCAATAGTCTCTGATGTGGGACCCTGTCAAAAGCCTTTACTGAAGTCCATATACACAATATCATATTCATTACCATGATCTACCTCCTCAAATACCTTAGTGAAAAAAGTTAATAAATCGTAAGGCAGGAACGCCCCTTTGTAAAACCATGTGAGATTCGTTGATTAATTTATGCTTTTCAAGGTGGTACGAACTGCCTCGGCAATTTTGTTTCCATAAATTTTCCCACTATGGAGGTTAGGCTTATTGGTCTATAGTTCGAAGCTAAGGACCTGTAAACCTGTTTTGAAAATAGGTATCACATTTGCCATTTTCCACTTATCTGGCACCATGCCAGTTTGTAGTGATATGTTGAAAAGATTAGCCAAAGGTGTGCCTAGCTCCTCTTTACATTCCTTTAGAACCTTGCATACAGTTCATCAGGGCCTGGGGATTTGTTAGGTTTAATTTATCTATTTGCCTTAAGGACCATGTCATTTGTGACCCTAATAGTGCACAGTTTATTATGTCCTGTTCTACATAATTTATCATTACTGGAATATCGCTGGTATCCTCCTGGGGAAAAAACTGAGAGGAAGTATGTGTTAAAAATTACAACATTTCCTTATCACTGTCAGTGAGCTGACCGGGGAAACTTTTGAGTGGGCCTATCTTGTCCCTGATCTTACTTCTGTATACCTGAAAGAATCCTTTTGGGTTAGTCTTCGATTCTCTTGCAACTTTAACCTCATAATCTCTTTTTGCTTTTCTAATTCCCTTTTTTATTTCTCTCTTTAACTGAAATATCGATTTCTCAATTCCCCCTTTCTCCTTTTGATTTGCCTATATATCCCTTTTCTTTTGACCAATCAGATTTTTTAATCTATTGTTATCCATTTGGGATCATTTTGTTTGATCTGATTTCCCTATTTGGAACATAATTTGACTGAGCAGCTAGAACTATGCCCTGAAAGCATCATTTCGGAAAACCATCACCACCTACCTGACCCTTAGTCAGGTCATTCCAGTTCAGCCCACCTAAGTAATTTTCAGTCCTATGAAATCAGCCAAGCGAAAGTCAGGGACGGAGACTTGATTGCCATTATTAGGGGGAAATTTCCCTGATATATTAAAACTGAGTGATTTGTGATCACTTTCCCAAGCTCATCAATTAACCTCAAGATTATTAATTAGTGTTTCCCTAACTGGCAAGAACCCAAATCAAGGAGGTTATTTCCCTAGTTGGCTCTGTCAACAAACTGTTTTAAAAAACAATTCCCGGATCGTATCAAGAAAGTCACCTGACTCTAAATTTCCTGTCAAATTGCTCCAGTCAATCTGTCTATAGTTGAAATCTCCCATTAGCACAACATTTTCGTATGTAGATGCCTTACGAATTTCGTCCCATAGAAGTTTACTGCACTCCCTATCAAGATTTTGGGGCCCTGTAAATCACCACCCAAAAATTTGTTTTTCTCGGCCCTCGAGAAGCTGTAACCAAACAGATTCAGTGGCTGACGCTTCTAATTTAATATCTTGTTTAAAAAACAATTTAAATTGTCTCTGACATACATCCCCTACTCCACCCCCTTTCCCGTTGACCCTGTCAGTGTGGAATAATTTATAGCCTTGTATGTGACATTCAGAGGGCATCTCTCTATCTTTCAGGGTTAAGCCAGGTCTCTGTTATAGCAATAAAATCTATGTTTTCCCGCACTTGCAATTAATCTTAGCTCATCTATCTTATTTCTTACAAATCCTGCTTTAGTATAGTAAACCTTAAGGAGCTAGTCCTTGCTGCCTCTGCTGTCCCCCCTTTTTTTGCTGACCTGATCTATTGTCTTTATTTATAACTTCAAAGCTGAATGCCTTTTATACATTTACTGTTTCCAACCCAAGTGTTGCAACCTGCTTGTTTCCCACACACACCCATACCTTTCTTCCATCAGTTTAAAATATAGGCATTTCACCAATGGCCTTCTCATCGGAGTCTGCAAGTGCTACCACCCCCGCCCTAGAGAGATGTACCCCATCCCCCGCATACATAAATGTTTGCCATAAAAGTTGTTCCAGTTGTCAATGAATGGGATTGCAAGTTCCTTGAGTTCTGTTAGCCCGCAATTTACACCAATTGCCCTAGACAAAAACCCTTCATTTCCTACTCCCCTTCTAGGCAAGATGCTACATATGATTGGGATCCCTCCCTTGACTTAATGAAATCTATAGCTGACCTGTATTATCTAGCAGCTCTTCTCTCCCACCCTTCCCAATATCATTTCCCAGCACTGAGAAAGATAATGGGCTTGTTCCCATTACCTGACGTGATATTATCCAGCCTGTTGACAATGTCCCCAACACCAGCCCAGGAAGACACTCTGTCTCTCATCTTTTTATTCCTATTACAAAAAGACGGTCAATATATCTTACCTGAGAGTCACCAACCACCCAAAAATGCGCTTACCTCCATTAAGGGGGCAGTAGTACCCTTACCTTCACTGGCCACTGAAGTACATTCATCCTGAAGAACAGAGAAGCGATTTCCTACCCTTAGATCTTCACTCTTAACTTTCCTTACTCTGATGCGCCTTCCATTACTGTGAACCACTCGCCACTTGTAGCAGGTGCTGGACTGCACCTCATGCTGGTTTGCCGTTGCTACTCCCCAGCTACAGCCTCCTCACAGCGAGAGGCAGACTGCACCTCATGCTAGAAGCCTCATTCCCCACAACTCCAGCCACCTCACACTCTCTCCCAGACCCATTGAGGTGGACCTTCAGCCTCCTAATCTCCTCCTGGAGAAGCAAGACCTCCTCCTTCAACTCTCCAACCTCAATTTTTAAAACACTGCAGAAGCAAGCCATGCTTTGTAACCGGCACACTTGTGAAAGAATATTAGACTCACCAGTTGACGTGTATTGGACGCTTAGCATGATTTGTTTACCTTTGAACTTTGGTAAAAATTGAACATTTCTGCTATTTTGAACTCAATTTCAAAGTACTTTTCACTTTAAAACCAGTCAAAATCATCGCAATTTCTGTAATATGTCTTCCATTCTATACAATGAGACCAGAAAACTAGAATACAACAATAAATACCATACAAAAATATAGTGCAAAATCTCTGTTTTAATCCAAAAATACAGTCAAAGTTTTTTTTTCTCATTACGCATTTTGTGCTGCAGGATTTTTTTTATACTGCGCACACTGACCACATAGACCCATTCTTTCATATGTAGGCCTACCAGCTTTCTCTCACTAGATTTGAAGGCGCTAGAATTTATGCGTACTAGTACGTCATGGACACTGGTGCACAAGCCGTACTAGTACGTCCGAAACCCTGAAAGGGTTAATGACAAACAAATACTGACAACAAATCTTCAAAATTTCTCTTACAATACAATACAAAAGAACCAAACCTGACTAGATTGTTGAGAATGCTGGGGTCTTTGGGGATATTTCAGTTGCCAGGAATCTTCCTTATCCTGAGTCCAGACGTGCTGACTGTCCTCAACTGTGCGTTGACTAGTTGACCTCATGCTGGGACTACTCATAGCAGTCTCAGATGGATCCTTGCCCTTTGAGACCTTTGGTTTCTTGCTGCGTTTTTCACCAGACTCACTATTGGCTCGGGAACTACTTCGTGTACTCTCCAAGCTAAAAAAAAAAAAAGAAGCTGTAAGTGCACAGAAAGTTTCTAAGATTGAGGGACTTTGCTACTGATCCAGTATTATCAGAGAACAATAATTACTGAGTAAATCATAATAAATGTAAATGTGCATGTATAAAATAATCAAACATACAAAACCTCAGTCACATAATTATAATGCAGATTCCCATGGTTAAGTTGCTGCAAAATTAAAAAAATTTCCATAACCAATATAAATTTCACCAAATCAATAAAAATCACAGCAACAAAAGTGAAGATATGATTGTTAGTCTAAATCAGTGGCTGCACATTTAAGATTACTGAATAAGCAGAGCTTAAAATTATTAACATCAGCTCAATTTATACTTAACATAAATTTGAGAGAGACTGAAGGAAAAAAAAAAAAGGGTACCCTCCAAATACTTCCCTAACAACCAGCTTTAACAATCTTTTAATTTAACTTGTAAGAATGGTAGTATAAAATATCTAACATCTTAAACATCAAATGGTGGTTATCATCATTGCATTATTTAGAAATAAAAGTAAAATTTTTCTATACATTAAGCTAAAGGGACAAGTTATGATCTTTGTACCTACTTTTTTACTTTTGTCCGATTCTCTTTGTTTTTGGTGTACCTTTAGAAGCAATTATGCACTATATTTTTATAAAGTTTCAACAAGATCAGCCAACAAACAAATGAGAAAAAAAATATTTAGTGGTTTGACACATGTCAGTAAGTGGTCACGTAGTGGCACTGCGAGCGACTCCGCAGACATTCATGACTAATAAAACAAGCCTAACCCAAATTTCTGGTGAAATTAATAATGTAATATACATTTGGTACACTTTTGACATTCACCAAAATATTTGCCTTTTTACCCCCCCCCCCCCTTCAAAAAAAAAAATACTTGACATTTTCCAAAAATACTTTCAGCAAAAATTCAAACACACACTGTTTTACATTTCGTTGTGAAAATCATTTCAATCTAATCGTTAATAATGTGGCTGTTTCGAGTAATAGGCCAAAATCTTACTTCTGAGATACTGGGGACAAAACATGCTCACCTGATTACAAAAAAAAATTTCATGAAAATCGCGCTCTTGGCTTTTTTTATGCGATGTAAGTGATTTCTTATTGTTTCCCCTGTATTTTATATTGTTTTCTTTAGTATGAGACCAGAGGTAAGAGAGAAAACCATTCTCATAGTCAGGAACTTGACTAAATCATTGATAGCCAGTGGCCACCACCCTGTGCTATAATATGCTGAATATTATTATTTTGGCTGTCTTTATTATGCTTTCATCTCATTCATCTTATGTCTGCTATCATTAATGAATAAATGGTATAAGCAGATAAAGTTTATTAATAATAATAGAATCAGTATAAGACATACAGTATTGTGATCGACAAGCAAACTGCTGACAAAACAATTCTTTGTTCCTCCCTCCTACTGACTCCTCCTACTATGCTATAAGATCCTCCCACACTGTAATGATGTTCAGTGGTATTAGAAAAAATACACAAAAAATAAAAAAAAAAAAAATTAATAAATCCACCTCATTGTCACGCATATATGTATTTATGTGGCCCGTCATCACCAGACATGTTCAAATAGCTATAATTTGCTGTGGAAACATTGCATTCCAATGGGATTTTTACCAAAATGTTGCCAGACTCTTAAACTATTTTTCTGTAAACAAAACTCATTTTTCATATTTTTCAATTTATTTGTACTGCATATGCTCAAACCCTCCCTAAAGACTGGCTGTGAGCTGACAAGTGGTTAAAAAAGGCATGTAAAGTGGTACCAGCACTTATATATGAGTGTGAGGTATGGCCTTTAAATGATGCAGTGAGGATGTTAACCCTTTGACTGTCTCAGGCCTCTTTCTGAAACTCATTCTAAGTCGATAAATTTTTTGGAAAAAAAAAAAATTTCTTATGAAATGATAGATAATCTTTTCCCGATAGTAATAACACCAAAAGTATAAAATTTGGTCGAAAACTCACGGAATTACACTCCCCCGAAGTTAGCGGTCTTGGCGACATATACGCATCAGCGATTTCGCTGAATTTGAGCCCTGTTTTTGGCCAATTCCATTGTTCCAGTTAACCAAACTCATAGCTATTTCTTTAGAACTCCATGTTTTCTATCAGTTGAGTACAATAAACCGCCCATTTACCGATTTGAACTACCCAATAAAGTGGTCAGAAATTGGCAATTTGGCCAATTTCACGCAAATTAAAAAGGATGCCAATTTCAAAATAGGGTCCAGAATAAACAATGTAGACATTCTTGGCACTAAAATAACATAGCCTTTGTTCATTAGTCATGTCTCTAGGCAACTCTTATATTACTATTGCTTTCTATTTTGATTTTTTATTCATACAAAAAAATACAAAATTTACTGTTATGCAGACTACTGCATTATTCTAAAAATGGTATAAATAATATCGGTGCACTAATGAAAGAATATTAGATTCCCCAGTTGAAGTGTATTGGACGTGTGGTGTGATTTGCTTACTCCTGAACACTGGTAAAAATCGAACATTTCCGCTACTTTGAGCTCAATTTCAAGGTCATTTTCATCGTGAAACTAATCAATGTGTTCAACATAGGGACGATGTTGGACACCTCATGAAATTCAATGAAGCTAAACTAGTGATTAAAGAAGACGACTTAAGACGAAGAAAATGCATTGAAGCTGCACTAATCACTGTCAGTAACACTATAAAGCAAAAATCCGGTAGTTACAGTATTTCAAAATTACTAATCAAGAGGATATTACCCATCCTGGGAACTGCTGTTACATGATGTCAGCAGGTCCCTCTCTAGCCTCACCGCCTTAGTTCCACTATTACTACTACTACCACCTCTACCCACGCGTCACTTCACCTGACTCCTGCCACTATACATATGCGTTTTCTTAGTTTTCTCTGTATTAGGACTGAAGAAGCCACTCGTGGCGAAATGTTTCCTTTAATAAATGTCCTGAACTGTACATGTGTCTTTTTCCACATACATAATGAGTATGTTGCATGTTTCTATTAATATTGTTTATTATGTCATATTAGTTGAATTGTGATAGATAAATAAGCTGTAGAGTTGATATTACTGTCATATTCTCCAACAATAAACTTGCCATCCCTCCCTCACACAAACAAGTCTCCAATAAGAACATAAGAAAGGAGGAACACTGCAGTAGGCCTGTTGGCCCATACTAGGCAAGTCCTTTACAATCCTTCCCACTAAGAATATAACTATGGAAGAGCACTGCAGGTCTACTGGCCCATACAAGGCAGGTCCTTATCAAAATGACCTCTACCCAAAGTTACCCAAGAATTTACTCCCGTCTCATAAACACGCTAAGATAACAGGGATATCTTGCTACTCCTACTTACACTTTGGTCACACTTCACAGACACGCACATGCATATATATATATATACATACATCTAGGTTTTTCTCCTTTTTCTAAATAGCTCTTGTTCTTTTTTATTTCTTCTATTGTCCATGGGGAAGTGGAAAAGAATCTTTCCTCCGTAAGCCATGCGTGTCGTATGAGGCGACTAAAATGCCGGGAGCAATGGGCTAGTAACCCCTTCTCCTGTATACAATTACTAAAAAAGAGAAGAAGAAAAACTTTATAAAACTGGGTTGCTTAAATGTGCGTGGATGTAGTGCGGATGACAAGAAACAGATGATTGCTGATGTTATGAATGAAAAGAAGTTGGATGTCCTGGCCCTAAGCGAAACAAAGCTGAAGGGGGTAGGAGAGTTTCAGTGGGGGGAAATAAATGGGATTAAATCTGGAGTATCTGAGAGAGTTAGAGCAAAGGAAGGGGTAGCAGTAATGTTAAATGATCAGTTATGGAAGGAGAAAAGAGAATATGAATGTGTAAATTCAAGAATTATGTGGATTAAAGTAAAGGTTGGATGCGAGAAGTGGGTCATAATAAGCGTGTATGCACCTGGAGAAGAGAGGAATGCAGAGGAGAGAGAGAGATTTTGGGAGATGTTAAGTGAATGTATAGGAGCCTTTGAACCAAGTGAGAGAGTAATTGTGGTAGGGGACTTGAATGCTAAAGTAGGAGAAACTTTAGAGAGGGTGTGGTAGGTAAGTTTGGGGTGCCAGGTGTAAATGATAATGGGAGCCCTTTGATTGAACTTTGTATAGAAAGGGGTTTAGTTATAGGTAATACATATTTTAAGAAAAAGAGGATAAATAAGTATACACGATATGATGTAGGGCGAAATGACAGTGTTTGTTGGATTATGTATTGGTAGATAAAAGACTGTTGAGTAGACTTCAGGATGTACATGTTTATAGAGGGGCCACAGATATATCAGATCACTTTCTAGTTGTAGCTACACTGAGAGTAAAAGGTAGATGGGATACAAGGAGAATAGAAGCATCAGGGAAGAGAGAGGTGAAGGTTTATAAACTAAAAGAGGAGGCAGTTAGGGTAAGATATAAACAGCTATTGGAGGATAGATGGGCTAATGAGAGCATAGGCAATGGGGTCGAAGAGGTATGGGGTAGGTTTAAAAATGTAGTGTTAGAGTGTTCAGCAGAAGTTTGTGGTTTTACAGGAAAGTGGGTGCAGGAGGGAAGAGGAGCGATTGGTGGAATGATGATGTAAAGAGAGTAGTAAGGGAGAAAAAGTTAGCATATGAGAAGTTTTTACAATGTAGAAGTGATGCAAGGAGGGAAGAGTAAAATGGAGAAAAAGAGAGAAGTTAAGAGGGGTGGTGAAGCAATGTAAAAAGAGAGCAAATGAGAGAGTGGGTGAGATGTTATCAACAAATTTCGTTGAAAATAAGAAAAAGTTTTGGAGTGAGATTAACAAGTTAAGAAAGCCTAGAGAACAAATGGATTTGTCAGTTAAAAATAGGAGAGGAGAGTTATTAAAGGGAGAGTTAGAGGTATTGGGAAGATGGAAGGAATATTTTGAGGAATTGTTAAATGTTGATGAAGATAGGGAAGCTGTGATTTCGTGTATAG